CATGTGATGCGCTGATCACCCATCTTTCCTCTTCAATGTTTTGGTTGCCAGGTATGCAGACAAACCAGCAAAGTTTGACTGCTTCCCTGCAGATGACAGAACCATACTAACTTCTGCCCCTCTACTCCTCTGATGTTCCTGAGATCAGGCAATGCAAGAACGTGGCCATTCCTTGCATGGTTGTGCCATAATCTTCCGCGTGCTTCGTAACTATAGTTGTGTACAGTTCAACCTTCTTCGTGGGTGCTTGCAATAGCAGCCGCTTCTAGTTCGTCCAGCAAAACCGGCCCAACAGCCGAAAAGGATATATTAAGCAAGACTTTTGTCGCAGCAGCTCTGCCATCAACAAGATTAGTGCACGAATAATCTTTCCGTCATTTTTACTCCAAACAGCGTAAAAACGGAAAAGGAATGAAAGGAAATGTGCTTTTCGTAAATAAATTTCATTAGGTCATTTTGATAAGGAATCCGTTGAATGCTGCAGCAGTTAGCGATTCTTAGATTTTCAGCACTTCCAGGTGAAGACAAACAACGCTGTACAAAAACAAGTAATGAATACTTCTATGCGAATACTGAGGCAGATTTTTCTCCGATAGAGAAATCGCAGCGACCAACATAACATGAAGAAATGTCACATTTGAAGAACGGCGATATATGATCCTTCGCATATCCTAAACCCTACGACGAGCACCTACTCGTTCCGAAAATTTCCAGATTCATTACATTTAGAGGTCAACTTTCCAGTAGACCTTAGGGTGCATTACAAGCGACTTTCACAGCTGGTATCAGCAGTCAGCAATGTTAAAGCTGGAACAAAAATTCGGTACATGTATTGCCCAAGGGGACTACCGTCCCTAGCAATAGCCAGAAAAGAAACCTGGAATCTTAACGAATTCATACGCTACACATAATCGCTAACTCGTCTCCAAATTTTAGGGTTAAAAGCTTATCCAAAATAATAAACTACATCAAGTGAAAAATGAGGTGTTTCAGCTCAGAAACCCTGAAACCAAATTTAACCGCACTGCCGGATGAATTACTAAACCTACTGGTAAAGCCAGCTTATGTTACTAAATCAAATGGATTACGAAAACCTGCACTTTATGTGTGAAGTTTCACAGTAGCACAATCAAGCTTAAAATCGAAGGCGGTCGACAAGACAATACAGTATCACCGAAGTTATTCACAGCAGCCCTAGAAGAGGCTTTCAGGACAGTCAGCTGAGAAGATCTGGAGCTGAACGTGGGCACTACTTAAACAACCTATCGCTTGCGGATAACATTCTGATCTTCTCAACGGACTTAAGATTGAAATGCAATCCTACGACTATCTAGGCAGCTCATCTCTGCAACGGTGAATCGACTATGCGAAATCAACAGAATAATGAAAATGATATAGAGCACTTTCAAAAGGTTGGAAATGCTTTATCCGGGAAACTGCCCTTGTGCCTGATACGAAGTTTTCAATCAGGTGCGCTGTCAATGCTAATGTATGAGTGTGAAATGCGGACCCTGGAAGCTAGTCATAAACTGCAGACTAAACAACGCAGAATGGAAAGACGCACGCTGAGAATAACAATAAAAGATAGGAAGACTAATGAATGGGTAAGACCACAAACAAGAGCCTCGATGTCATTGATCCAGTGAAGAAGCTAATGGCAACGAGCTGGACACTGGACACGTTGCAAGAATCGACCATCACTGGACTAGAGACATCGAGTTCAAAGAGGGAGCAAACGGTCCGTAGGAGGACATTCAGATCCACGGAAAGAAGAGCTGAAGATGTTCGTTGGATTAAGGTGGATGAAAATGGCAGACAAATAAGTTTATGGCAAAGTCGTGGAAAGGCCTTCAGTCAGCAGTGGGTCGACAAAAGCTGATGATGATTATGATTTAATCTCCACAAACAACATCAATAAATAACTCTTCGACAAAAAGCAAACGGCTACGTTGAACGAAAAGAGAACAAACATATCAAACGCAGTGAAACACTGCCGCTCCGAATTTTAAAATCGTACTTGCCCTTACGGACAATGTTCAGCCAGTCTATAGCAACAGTACCGTATTCTACATCATAATTAGGAACCGTACAGCTCAACGCATTTCTAAAGCCGTCACTAATGTAACTTTCATACGTTTCAAAGCACAAATGTACTTCTTATGTGCAATGTGCACAGAATTCACTCCATCTACGTGATCTGTTTTTTAACACTTTCATTACAGTGCTATTGTGGTCATTTTCGAACTCCGTAACTTGATTTCTACAAATAAGTGATATGCATGTCCAGTTTGTCAGACCCCAACGACTCATCACCATATAACCATAACCAATCTGACAACTGACTGTGCAGTTTAACAATAATCGCAAAATGTGTTCCAGAAATAATATGTATTTGAATTTCGAGTGCAAGGTGTTCTGCGAAAGAAATTTTCAATAGATCTAGGCATTGGTTTGCGCTTCAAGTTTACGTAATTAATTAATTTACGTAGGTTCATATTATTGTTTACTTAAATAGTTTAAATCATATTCAGGTGCTGGTGGCGTATTAACAGAGTTCGTCAGGGAGATATGCCGCAGTCTTTGCCATTCAACTTTGTTCCTCAGTTTCTTCTCCAAAACAGCCCTGTCCCTGCAAACATGAATATCTCATTCTAGAGGAAAAACACGGTTTAAGGCATCCTGCTGAATATGTTGCTAACCTGCGGTACACAGAGTATATTGTTTTGTTGAGCAGTATCCGGGCTGACATCTGTCATCTGATGATTTCCGTATGCGACAAAGCTGTAAGAGACAGTATCTTCATAGACGTCCGTAACTGAGAATTTATTAGGAATCCATCCGGCATAGTTGACCTTCAAACAGGGCAGAGAGGTACTACACTTGATGAAGTTGACCAATCTAGTATCTTGTTTCTATCATCTCCAGCGATGGCATCATTAACTCAGCGCTAATGGGAAGGATTGCTCTAGCCTCGAGTGCTTTTGGAAACCTCGAATATATGAACCTGACTCCGTTTGTAAGAATTATGGCTGTACCTTGTCACTGTCAGGTTAATGTTGTTTTTCAGCATGGAAATAGTGTTCTATTGAAGGAGCAAAAACAATGGTTCAAATGCGTTCCGCAGCACTGGCTTTGACGCATGATGATAGTTAATTAGCAAGACCGCGTAAATTATTACTCTATTCCGTACTGGTTGCAAGTGACCTCTGTTTATGTACATGATAAATAAAGCGATTTGCCACTATTAGACAATGAGTTCTACATATGGGAACCGAAACATGGCGGTCGTTGATAAAAAGGCCAACAGTATTGGGAATCAAGTTGAGGCAGATCTGCTTTCGGTGAGGAACCTACTTTTCCACGTTGCAGCAACCGGTGTCTTATAGCGAAAGTGCTGCAACGTTGCGAATACGGTAGGCATCAATGTCAGAGGTATTTTGCTTATGCCAACATCTCAAGGTAATGACTTCAAGAAACACAACACGTTGAATGCGCAAGCATTGCTGAATCCAGTGCAAGGTCTACAGCGATCGTACATTTCACGGTTGCTAGTCATCCGTGAGTAGAGTCAATGCTGGTGTGATCGTCCTTCTGTTTTCGGCTGTCGAACTGTTTTGATGGCGGGATTATGACTGTTCTCGCTACATTATGAATGCCTTAGGTATCAGGACAAGGTTGCAAGAATGTGATAACGAGTCAGTAACGTGAGAGAAATTATCTCAAACAGCAACGCTTTGATATTGCAATGATATGGAAGTGGTCGATGCAAAGGTCGATTAGATGCTATGGTGCTTGCGGATTACCGAATAAGTGCGGCACAGTGAATAAATCAGAGCTAATAACAGCCTATTTTCTAGCTTAGGCATCTCAGAACTCATCAGGAATACACATATCCTTCACGACATCCTTCCAGCCTGTGTTATGTCATTAAAAGGCTTAGTTGAGTTGAGACAATTTCAGCCCGTAACATAGGGCGCTCCAGAATCGAGCAATCAGAGCATGTGATTTTGTTGCTTGTAAGTAAACATAGCAGAACTCTTGTCTATCTTCGTTTTCATGACGAGATAAACCTACAATATACGTCCTGTGCGCATTGGGTGTCCTGCTTCTTTAGACAAGCATGGTGGAAAATAATTGAGGTCAGCAGTAGTCTTAGAGTGGCTTCGTGCATTTTTCCAGTTACACGTTCATGGTGTTCGCAGAAGTCCGGTCTTTCATTAGTCGGTTGAGCCGTTGCTGTCAGACTAGACTTGGCTAATAGTGGTCATCTATCTGTACTGCATGTCGACCACCAAGAGTATCCTTCTGTGTATGGATTTACACTGAAACAACCATCTGCGATGGAGTCGCGGTAATGTGTCAAAGTTGTATGGTTGAGATAATTTTTAGTTCCGCATTAATTATTGTATTCTGTATTACTTCGCCTTGCATTGCACGATCATTTGACTCCATGCAGAGGGATCAGTGTCAGTGTCAAACGGATTGTAAAGCTTGATTTCCACCTGAGAGAATCTCTAAAATCAAGTGATGAATTGAAGTAAAGGATTATTATTCTATGTATCATTGACGAAAAGCGTTAACTGATAAATGTGTTGATATGATGTATTTCGAACGGTCAACACATTAAACAGCGTTTGTTTACTAGCTAACGAAGCCCGTGCAGAATACAGTGCACAAACAGTCACAACAAAGTAACACTAATATGACAATAAAGTGTTAAAACAGTCTGAAAAAAATAAAGCTTGTGCACACTTATGAAAATATGGTTAAAACATATGTCCCACAAAAAACGATCAGGCATAAATTCAGAATAAAACCGCTGAAACATCTGCTGGTCTGCTGAACTTAACTTCATTCTTCTACAGGTTTGCTTTAAATGTTTAATTTTACAACTCTTCTCATTCTGACGTAACTCACCTTGTTGGCAGAAAAAGGTGTGGTAACTGGTGCATACGCGCCATTGTACCCTTGGAGCAGATTTAGGCAACATTGTCGACACCGTGGCACAGTCCAGACCGGGTACATGATGCGGATTACCACTCACACTGAGTCTAAGCGAATTGAGTCTCAACACAGCTAATAAAATACTGAGAATACTCACAGACGATCAATATCCATCTCGCTCTTGGTGACCCATGCGATCTCTCCTTCGCGATTGACAGTCAGACCAAACCAAGACTCGGTGTGTTTTGGCAGTTGTGAAACGACAGCCTCCTACAATGATAGAAACTTTTACATCACGCAAGACATTTCAATGACGACTTGCCCATTCGTGCATGTCGCTGGGCACAAACAAATGGCTTTCGTATCGTCGGCAGTAGCTCACAGCCTCCTGGAAGGTTTTTCTCATATCTACGAACTTACTACACGAACCGCCGTGCTGAATATGATCCACGTAACATCTTGTTGCTGTTCCTAAAACATTGTTGAATAATAAAGGTCCCATTGTGCTGCTACTTTAACCATTCGTAGTATTCCCATCAGAGGTAATTGCTTCTTCGCTTGATTCTAAAACGAAGTCACGAGGTTAGCCGGAAGCTGCACGAACTGACAGGCATACCTGAAGAATCGGAGGAACTGTCACCACTGTGCATCGCTAGGATTATAACCCAGTACACGCAACAAAGTAAAACTATTAAAGAAACGTTTCGGCACATCACGGACTCGATTCAGCAGACCGTTTTCAAATCTCACTCACTACCGACTGATGAACGGCTGAACGAAAGACGTGTTAGTTCACGTTATTCGGATATCTGGTGGTGATCAGATTCTGACATGACCAATTGAGGGAACGTGGCGCCGCAGGGCCGAAACGAATAATATCGAAACAACTGCGAGTTACATATGCAAATTTCCGTTGGAAAAACTGAGTTCTCTCGGTGCAGTGTGTTTTTCTGCCTACTATTCTGTTATTTCCATTTTCGTTATCGTCTCGAGTGCAACTCATACGGCTACCTATATAGATTATGACGGTTTGCAACAAACAAGTCGGCTAATGAAAAATGGGACAAAATTTGTGTAAACGGCTGTGATGACAAAGTACTAACATTATCATTCAACTGCAACGCAGCAAGACGTCATCAAAGTAATGCCTAGCAAAGCCTCATTTACTATTTAACATGTGATCGGTGGACATCAACGTGGTTTTGATCATTTGTACCTCACTAACATTGAATGCATCGTTATTTGAAACATTCTCATGCGCCAACTTGGGTAGCACCACGTCTCCTTAACAGATAGCGACTAAGGTCGTTGCAAAGGTGAGTAATTTAACGAATGACTTAACTCACTTGTATAAACCATTGCGCAATATCGGTAGGGAAGGTCTTCCATTTGCCAGTAGCACAATCTCTGTAGGTGACTACTGCGTCAAAAATCGAATTGCAATTACTGATGCCTACAATTCTTCGACTAGAAGTGACCTAGAGACAGAATTACTATCGCATGAGTAATAATTTCAATAAAGAAGTATTTACTTTTGGAGGTAACAGTGGAAATCATCTGACAAAACTGAATCAAAAAGACACGTTCATGTCCGTGTTATCAGCCACACTCTTCTAAGTGCTCAATTTTGGTATTCTGTTAACGTATTGTTTCGGTTGTTTAAATGTCATTAACTGTATTCCATTAGTTTTGATTCTCAGAGCGTGGCTCATTGCACTTGTTACAACTATTGCAAGTAAAGAAGCCGCCTTGCCTTCTTTTAAGATCGTGTAATTCTCCCATCCTAGCCCACCTGAAAGAATGGCTATGCGACGAAACAGCACTCAAAGAAATTACAGTAGACCTGCTGAATGGGAATAGGCGAAAGACGTATTCAGTACGCACTGGAATTTGATTTGAAGTCGACTGCCTGTTTACCCTGATGAGTCGAAATGTATCGCCGAATAAAGCAATCTATCTCGCCCCTTCAATTGTTACCTTGAATTATTGATTGACAACCAAGTATAATTATTTAGTCAGGCAACGAATCGACATATCCTTCCATAGCTATTTGCCGCTTAATTCATTCAGACTTGATTTCATTGTATTTATGCCTTCGTTTGGATGAAAGAATTAGGCGATTTTGAAATAAGGTACTGGTGGCTACTTCGTCAACAAGGCTGAACAGGCAGAACTACAATCAGTTTTGAACAGCAAAACAGGACATATAACAAGGTTAAAATCCTCCTTCCGATCAGTGGTAGACATCGTTGCATAACGAAAAGGACACAACAGTTAATTCGCACATACGCCATTATCTGGTACAGAAAACTTTCATGCACTTAACAAATTCAACCTCAACAATTTATTACAATGCAATGAATGTGAAAGGATAGTCATAAATTGGCAAAAAAAACTCTTCCAGGTCTTTAACAAATTCCTCTTTCAATGACATTGAAAGCAGCGCTGACTTGAGCTCTTGTAATGAAAAATCACTGTTTTGCAAAAATTCAAGAATTAAACATGTAAAACACACATTGACCAAATATCTGTTGTGATAAAGAAGAGCAGTCGTTAAAAACTCAACCAAAGTCGAACTTTTCAGGTACTTCGAAGTCACAAAATTATAGCTGACAAAAAGCGCAAGGTCACGGCACATGACTTGATTAGCCATTCCCAAACATTCGAGGCAGTCGGCGGCGCTGCTGATCGATACCTCAGTGCAATTTCGGCATCCGTATAAATAGTGAATAACGTATTTGAACACATTGAAGGAATATATTTTATCGACTTTAATAGCCTGCATCTTGGATTCAGGAAATTCGCCCACAAGCATCGCTCTAAAGAAGTCTGATTTTTCGGCTAAAACGTGGCGATCTACCGTAAATTCATCAGATGAAGTAGATGAAACAAAGAGAACTCGATCATCCTCAGATTCGACTAGACGCAAGCGACAAGTGTCGCTCATTTCGTCTATTTTCACATCATTCTGGTTCGCTTTCACGATATCTTGCAATTGTTCTAAAAGGAAGACATTTATGAGCGAACGGTAAATTTGACGCTGCAAGTTCAAAAAAAATGCTACGGGTATAAAAACAAATGCCACAAGCTTAGTTTGGTATACACGTCGTCACGACTGTTTTACGAATCATTGACGATGATGAGCATAGGTCATAGAGTCTTCTTCATCCGCGTGACATAGCAACGGGCAGACGTTACTTCGTTCAGACGGCAGTTCCGACAAGCACCCTAACGCACGTGCGACGACGAAGTAGATCGCCGTTGTTCCATGTGATGTGGGGTTATGGAGGGGATGGGGCGCACATACGATAGTGATCGATGTTGTGTTCCACTGTTTACGCTTTGTTAGTCAGAAATCAAAGCAGAAACGAATCCTATAGTCAAATCATGCACAGAAATCAGTACCACATACGATCGGTTTTCGGTTCTCTCTATAGATTAGACTTGTGCCTTGGCTGATGGACGGCTGCATAAGCACACGCCTAAACCTAAGCTCGTGTATAGCGAGATCTTGAACATAACAGCATTATATAAACTGATCTTTACAAGCCAAACAGTATTATGTAAACAGATCTATGTATAACCCTTATACATATCCACCAGTCACATCTGTGTAGACTAGAATTATCTTACATATGCATCAATTTATGTTAAGATTAAAAACGTATTCACATATGTGCATTTGTTGCTAGTGCATCCGCGAATTCAATTCACATATGTGCAATGTGACTAGTCCGCGCTTTACCGAAAAATAATTTTTCGGTGATTTCATTCAAGCAATAAATTTTTATTCATTCAACTTAGATGTACATCATTAGTTTTATTTCGCATACATGTCATGCTCGGAAACATCGTTACGTCATTTTGCAGGTGAGATTATTAAGTGAAGCCAGTAGAGCTGCAGATCTGAGTTTCGAAAATGTCAATCCATGTGCGATATGACGAACAAATGTATCTCTCGCAAACATGTAAAACATCCTCTTCTTCCGCCCTTTCATCTAGTTCTCATTGTTGTTCTTTCCTTCTACACAGCTTAATCATAACGAATTATTACGGCGGCAAAATGCCAAAGACTACAAAACCTTGGCTTAAGTTCTGCTTTCACTAATTAAAAAACAGCCTTAAACAAAAACTTCGTCACATATGGGTGCTGATAAGCAGAACATAAAACGCAAAACCAGTTGAATGAAAACGTAAGCGTTACCGATCGTAAAAATAACAGACAGAGAAGTGAAAGCTGCTCTCTGCTCCTGTGCATCATCGGACAAAACTTTAAGTATCAAATTATTCAGGCCATGCAGATCCCGAAGGCATTTCGAAAGGCTGCTTTTTGTTCTAAACATAACCACAACAAAAAGTAAAAACAATTTATAAAATCAGAAATCAGTCACTTCATCAAAAACGGAACCGCACGGAATGCCATCATCTTCTTTGACTCGTCGCCGGTCAAGATCAGATGGGTTATGATACCCAGGCCGAAAGCAGTATCCACTTGAGCCCTGAAAAATACATTTTAACATGATTCAAAGATTAGCCACTCACTCGAACAGCCCAGAGTGAAAATAATTTGCCAACATAAAATCGTGTTTATCTGTGTAGAAAGAAAGCTGTCTGTAATCCACAGGAGCTGGTCTACTTTACGCGTGAACGCCAGGCTCGATTCTTCACAAACATCACGGGCAGTGATTCCTTTCAAAGGTATGGCACATTCGTTCAGTTACGTGGATTATACATCCAGAACTGGATTTAGTGGTGTAGGTACCATCCTGTTGATCCTAGCTGCATAGGAGTCACTTAAACACGACATGACTTCATGGTAGTTAGACATCTTGCATAGTTTTACTGGATACACAATTCTTAGTCACCAGTGGTTCAGGAGCCGATATGCTTTCACAAAACATCAAAAAGTATTCGTGTCATACTCCCTTACGCGTGAAAATATTAATTCACGCATAACTTGAACAACTTAACCAGTCAAGAAATGGAAAGGGTGCAGATGCCTGAAGACACACCGAACAGAATGGTGTTTCAGCATAGCCATGACACATAGCCAGCTGATAGCTGACTTAATTAGAAGGTGTAACTCATAAAATCTGATAAACGCAATAGAACTAAAGTTCACCGAAAGCCTACAAACACTAGTGAATACGTAAATGTTAATTTCCAAAACCATATAAATAATAAGCGGCAATAGTCATCGCCGCATCAGAGAAAACAATGAAATGAAACTTGCAATAAAAATGTTAAACAGTTAAAAAATTAACACTGTGTAACAGCAATAACTGCTCCATCCACCAAGTTTATTAATAGCATCATAACCTGAAGAATACAGAAATATGTATCAAGCATAA